ACACACACACACACACACACACACACACACACACACACTGTGCACACAGCTCAGCTCGTACTGACTGTCCACCGATGTACACCCACCCCATGCACACGCACCCCATCTCTCCCCAGCACACCAACCACGCAGACACACTCCTTGCGACCCGCCTGCCCCCCAGATCACTCGGCCCATGGCCCAAGGGCCCACGCCCCCTGCAGTCACATGCTCCTGATCACACACACACAGCCTGCAGTGATACGCACGATTCACAATTGCAGGCCACAGGGCACGCGCCCAGGAACAAGAACCACAAACACACTCGGCCGTGACCCTGCGCTGGGCCTTGCTCTGAGCCTTTCCACGCATTAACCGCCTTAATCCATATCAACGTCTACACACCCATTGACACAGGGGCACGCCACCCAGTGGCTCCGGCTGCTGCGGCTCAGAAAGGCAGCCTGGGGACCCCACACGCTCAGCGCCCTGTCCTCGCGCAGTACCCAGGCCCGGGGACCCTGAACGCGCCTCCCTGAGGTGTGGTGCGCAGGTGGCGACGGTAGGAGAGGGCCTTGTTCCCTTAACCCTTTCTCCGCCAGCTTCTCCCGGACACGTCCTTCCCGGGCGCCCTTCCTTCCTCCTTCCTTCCGCTCTGCCGCCTCCCCGGCGCCCACGTTCCCCTCTATTCGTCCTCTCCGCCCCTCCGCGCTCAGACCCTGGTCCCGCGGCCGTGACGCGCGCGCATCCCGCAGGGAGGGAGATGTCAGGGTGCGTGGGAGGGGGCGCAAGGGGGTCACGGCAGGAGCCTGCGCGCGCTTCCCAAGTGCCCCTCCAAGGGCGGAGTCTCGCGCGCCCAGGCCATTACCGGGCGGGTCCCGGACGCGCCCGAGGTCACCGAGGGGCCCCGAGGTCACCCACGGGGCGCGCAGCCCCGCCCTCCCTGAGGTGCGCCAAGGACGGCCCCCGCGCGCGTTCGCTCGCGGTGCCCCCTCCGCGCCGGCCGGCCCCTCCCGGTGGCTGTACCTGAAGTCGCTGTACGGGTGGATGATCCAGGCCCCCGCCGACTTGACGCGCTCCTGCTCGCGCTCCACAGCCTTCTGGCTGCCGAACATCCGCAGCGAGAACTTGTTGACGCCCGGCTGCAGGAGCGCGCCGAACTGGCGCTGCATGAAGCTGGCCTGGCTGCCGCGCGGCTCCCCCGCCGGGCCCGCCTCCTCGCTGCCAGCCTCGTCCGCCGGCCCCGGCCCCGCGCCCGAGGTGGGCGCGGGCCCCGCGGCCGCTCCGCGGCACGAGAACGACACCTTGGCCCCCCGCGCCGGGCCCTCAGGCCCCGCGGGGCTGCACTGCGGCTCGCCGCGCCCGCACTCGCCGTTCGGGCTGCCCTTGGCGATGCTTGCGGCGCCCGGGGTGCCGGGGCGGCCGCACGAGCTGTCGCGGCTGCGGAGTCGGGCCCGCGGACGGCCCTCGTCCGTCGCCTCCGGGGGCGCCGCCCCGGCCCGGGGCGGCTGCTGGGGGGCCACGGGCCCGGGGCCCGGGGGGGGGCGCGGGCGGCGGCGGCGGCGGCGGCTGCTGCTTC